ACGGAGTTCACAGCGGAAGAGGAGGATGCAACGGTCGGCGAGTTTCCAGCCGTCCAAGCTGGACAAACAGCAGCCCGAACTGCTGCTGCTGCTGGTCGCGCTGCTGCTGGTCGCGCTGCTGCTGGTCGAACAGCTCCTGCAGGAGCTCATGATGCCGCGGAGCTGACCAGAGATGAGACTGGACAGCCGGCACACCAAGCGAGGCAGCCACCTGCTGCCCGAACCAGTCCGCATACACCCGTAGGTGCAGCAGGCCGAACCAGGTCCAGAAACTGCTGCAGAGGCAGCGAACCCCACTGTTTTGGACGCGTTCGGACCCCCTGAAGCTGCAGTGATGACTCCAGTACGCTACCGATCCCTTGCGGACATCTATGCGGAGACGGAGGAGATCGATCTCCCTGCAGAGGAGTTGTACCTGATCACAGAAGAACCTGCAAACTATCTCGAGGCCGCATCAGACCAAGAATGGCGGACTGCCATGGAGAAGGAAATAGAGGCCATCGAGAAGAACAAGACTTGGGTACTCACGGAGTTACCGCGGGGTTCCAAACCCATTGGTCTCAAATGGGTGTACAAGCTGAAGAAGGACAATGAAGGCAACATTCTCAAGCACAAAGCAAGACTTGTAGCAAAAGGGTACGTCCAGCAGCAAGGCGTGGACTTCGATGAGGTGTTTGCACCTGTGGCGAGGCTTGATACCATCAGAATAATCCTCGCTATATCAGCACAGAACGGGTGGGAGGTGCACCATTTGGATGTGAAGTCGGCATTCCTAAATGGTGATCTCCAGGAAGAAGTGTATGTGGTTCAACCTGAAGGGTTCGTTGTGAAGAATCAAGAGCACAAGGTCTACAAGCTTTCAAAGGCACTCTACGGTCTACGCCAAGCACCTCGGGCATGGAACACGCGCCTCGACAAGTGCATGAAGGGCATCGGATTTGCAAGATGCACTCAGGAGCAGGCGGTATACACAAGGAGTAACAGAGGAGATACACTCATTGTTGGCGTGTACGTAGATGATTTGATCGTTACGGGCTCGAGGGCGGATGAGATAAAGTTTTTCAAGCAACAAATGATGAAGGAGTTCGAGATGAGTGACCTTGGTTTACTTTCTTATTATCTTGGCATCGAGGTGGATCAGCGAGATGATTGTATTGCACTAAGGCAGGCGGCCTATGCGAAGAAAGTTTTGGGTCAGTTCGGCATGATGGATTGCAACCCGACGCAATATCCTATGGAAACAAAGCTAAAGCTTGGAAAGGATTCTGAAGGAACACCGGTGGACGTGACAGAGTATAGACGCATCATCGGATGTTTGAGGTATCTAACTCACACCCGACCCGATATCACATATGCCGTGGGGATTGTGAGTAGGTACATGGAGCACCCTACAGTTTTGCATAGACAGGTTGTCAAGCATATTTTGAGGTACGTGAAGGGTACTATGTCCTACGGATTGGTGTACAAACGAGGTCGAGGCAATGAAGAGTTGGTGGGATTCACTGACAGTGACCTTGCGGGAGATGTTGATGATAGGCGCAGCACAGGCGGCATGGCATTTTATCTAGGTGACAGTTTGGTCACTTGGACATCACAGAAGCAGAAGACGGTGGCATTATCATCCTGCGAGGCAGAATTTATGGCGGCAACTGCAGCAGCGTGCCAAGGCTTGTGGTTGAGGAGCTTGATTAGCGAATTGATTGGGTGTGAGCCCAAGCCGGTTACACTTTATGTCGACAACAAGTCCGCGATTGCCTTGATGAAAAATCCAGTTTTCCATGGAAGAAGCAAGCATATCGACACACGTTTTCACTTCATTCGTGAGTGTGTTGAGCGAGGACAGATTAAAGTGGAGTTCGTGAGCACGAGCGAGCGCGGCAACTGCAGCAGCGTGCCAAGGTTTGTGGTTGAGGAGTTTAATCAGCGAGGTGATTGGGAGTGAGCCCAAGCCGGTCACACTCTTCGTCGACAACAAGTCCGCGATTGCCTTGATGAAGAATCCAGTTTTCCATGGAAGAAGCAAGCATATCGACACACGTTTTCACTTCATTCGTGAGTGTGTTGAGCGAGGACAGATTAAAGTGGAGTTCGTGAGCACGAGCGAGCAGCGAGCGGATATTCTCACGAAGGCACTAGCAAGGGTGAAGTTCATCGAGATGCGGGAGCTACTAGGAGTAAGGGACTTGGAATCTCGTCCAGATTAAGGGGGAGAATGTGAGTTGTAATCAGTCCAAGGATTGTTAGTTAGTAGAATTCTAATTAGAGTAGAATACTAGTTAGTAGATAGGTTTCTAGTTATTGGATAAGATTAGAATTGCAATCTTAATCCTATATATATATGTAAACAATTGTTGAGTTTAGTAGAACGAAAATAAGAGAAAATCAGAACTTCTCCACCGAAAACAAAAAATCTCTCTGTTCTCTTCTATTCTCTCTCTGTTTTGCTGCTGATTGTTCGGTCCCAAAGCACAGGTTCCAGGTTCGGTTTTGTTCTATAAACAAGTGCAGTTTTGTTTTGGTTTCTGTCCCACAGTCTCTCCATCATTAAGCTTTCGGCCAATTAAGGCCAAATATTCCTCTTGTGTTGCAAGTCAAGAAGCTTAGGCCGATCCCATTAAAACCAACAGGGTAATGGATTACCAATTGTTGATCAAGAGTGTAAGTAGCATCTGATAGTTCTATGTGATTCGTGGTTGTAGGTAGATTTGTTGGTGATAGTTTTTCTGGAGCATCATAGCATCCTTTGTGTGGAACATACTAATCAATTTCAATCTCATATATTTTTTCAACCAAAAATTGTCGCAGAGAATCGTCAGTTTTATCTACATAGGTATCCACATTTTGAGTTCCTGGGTGGTAGTTAAGAGTCTAGATCATCTAGAGTATTAGGCAGTAGCTATTGGTGTCCTAGGTTTGATGGAGATAGGAAAACCTACAAAAAAGAGACCCATCCTACCTATTGTTAGAGGATTTATGGATGTCTTCCTAGTGGAGTTTCCCAGTTTACCACCTGACCAAAGTGTAGAATTCTCTATTAATATGGTGCTAGTGACCGCCAATATCTAAGCGGCAAGTAGGATGTCACAAAAGGAGTTGGAGTAACTCAAAGGGTAGCTAGAGGATTATCAGAGGAAGAGGTTCATTTATCGTAGCTACTCATTTTGGAGAGCACTTGTTCTACTTGTGAGGAGGAGAACGACTTCAGACACATGTGTGTGAATTACATGGAGCTGAATTGTAACGCACGTCTGTGAAATGCCGTTATAATATTTTGGTATGTTTAAGAATTTCTGTTGGAAATTAAATAAATTAATTTTTATTAATTAGAAATTATTTCTAAATAACTCAGAAAAATATTAAACAAATAGAGTTTTGAGTGTTTTATGCAAATAGTTTTAGTAGTTTGAGGTTAAAGCGGTTAAACTCGAAAAGAGTTTCGTGCTAGTTAGCTTGAGTCTCCTTGTTGTTTTTAAAGAATTGCCAAAACTCTAGGTTTGCAAAATTTAGCCAAGATTCGATCTCTCTGAGGATGATCAAGCATAAGATGCCAAAATTGAATAATCTGGGGGGGGGAGGGGGGGAGGCCATTAAATATGAATTAGTGGTCATTAACTTAAGGAGATAATGATGTGTTTCTATAAAAATAGCTCTTAAAATGGCTATGCGTGAAGTTTACTGATAACTGTCATGGGCAAAGCTCGTTTTAGCAAACTTCACTTGAACTATGGGTGGCATGGCCCACATAGGCTATTTGGGCTAAGCTCACTTTGAGTGAACTTCGCTTGAAGATTTACTTTCACTTGGTCTTGGGAGCCATTGCAATTTGGACGATCTTTGCTATTACTTGGACCAGCTTCGCCATGGCTCCTATTTGGTCCCATCTAAAGTTTTAAGCTCATTGTCATTCACTTCTTAAACTCATGCTGGGTTCAAGTATTAGATTCGTGTTATTTGTGCTGAGTATTGGTCTAGGAGAGAGCTTGTATATTTTGAGCATCTACAAGACCCTCGCTCCCCCTAATGTTTTGACATCTTGCCTTTGCCTTGTAGCGGTAATTGAAATACTTTGGGTAATAGCCAAATGTGTATTGTTAAACATAACTATAATTGTCTTACCTAGGCTAGATCTACTTCCATTTTACTACTCGTTTGCCAGAGGTGTATTATTAAATGTTGCTTCTTTCATTGTGGATTCATCTTGGTTGAATGCTTAGTTGTATTTATGTGCTCTTCTATAGAGAGTTTGAAATTCACTTACCCTTGAATTTGGGCGAGGCTCAGGAAACAACTTAAGTGAAGCGATGTTCGTCTACCCATGGATTTTGGCAGAGTTAGCTTAGGTTCGCTAATCGATGAGAGTCACTGAGGCTATTGCTTCTAGATCTGTGTCTTGATCTATTGTCAAGACCACTCTTAGTGGTTAAATTTCTAGTGAGATTTGCTGAATAACCTACGACTAGAAATTTGCTGAACAACCTACTCTGAGGATACCTCTTAGCCTTTGAGTGGGCTAGTCACTTCTTGTAAGGAGTGATTTTTTGGACAAATTTATTAAAAGGCTTATAAATAGCACTTTCATTTCCTATTTCCTTCATCTTCCTACTCTTAATCTACTCCTATTCGATCATAGTTCTTCTTTGATAGAGAAGTCAAAATCAAACAGCTTAGGCAAGAGTTGGATTTAGTTGATAGTGTATCTATGAAGGAGACTGAGATCCTTCGTTAATTGGTGGACTTGTTGCTGCCCAAGAAGGCTTGTCTCGAGAAAATTATCGAGAACTTGTTGAAGGAGTAGCACAAAGTGAATTGTGATAGGGATGTGTGGAACTTTTAGTGTTAAACTTTACATAGGATCGTTTGAAGGCCTTGATGGCGCCTCAAAAAGGATCCTTAGAGTTCAACAAGTGAGGATTCAAAGAGTGATTAGGCGTCACATGTTAGGACTTAGAGAGTGATTAGTCTTTCACATTTGCTTGCTAATTTTCCTTCTATTCCTCAGTTGTCTTGTGACTTGAAGGACTGGAATTGCTTGTAAGAAGAAGGACTTATAATCAATGGAAGAATGAAGTTTTCGTGAAACTGTTCCTCATTGTGTGTTTGATCGCTACGTATTTCATCTCTTGAATTTAAGGCAGAGCTTAGGCTTTATGTAGACGAGGATCGTTGAATGAGGTTTGCCACATATAGCATTCCATAAATTGGGTAAAATTTGCTCAATTTTGGATCTCAGGAAAAGTTTGTTCAACATTTGGTGAAGCTCATTTAGTTGATCACCGAAGTTCGTTTAGATGATTTTAAAATTTAAATTTCCCTATCTTGTCCCTTGATTCTTAGGTGCGGATCACTCTTGGGCAAAGTTTAGGGTGAGGTTCGCTGAAGGTCTATAAATAGACTATTCATTTTCTTCTTCTCCAATTGCCTTCTAAAACCCTAAATCCTTGAAATCTTCTAGGTTTTCCAAATGCTCTTTCAAGGTCCTAATGGCTCCCCATCATCAACTTGTCAAGGGAAAAAAGTTGCTAGTGGATCTCGTTGGCCGAGCACCATTGCTGCACCATCACAGTGGGAGATGATGTCGGGTAAGTTCCTACGAACCCATTCTTTTAAGCCCCTCCATCAATGATAAGATTATTGGTTGCCAACATGGCATTTACCGGCTTGAAAAATGCTTTAAGTCTCTAGGGTTAACTTCACTGTTGATGGCGAGGCTTAATTGGCTGCATTTGGCTGTGAATCTTAGCTTTGCCAGTGATAGCAAAACTTTGATAGTCACCATCAATGATGCTTCTCATGGCGAACTTTACTTGAGCGACGTTTTTTGTTTTAGCCTGTTTAGCTTTTGAGCAAACTTCGCTTCAGTGAGAACAACTATTTTAGCCTGTTTAGCTTTTGAGTGGACTTTGCTTGAGTGATGTATGTTGTTTTAGCATGTTTGGATTTTGGGCAACCTTCATTCATGCGAGGTTCGCTACTACAGGGGCAAACTTTGTCTAGGCTTGTAACACTTGGCCAATTTTCTTTGCTTTGTGATGGGCAAACTTTTCTCATGAGTGAGCTTAGCTCAATTATGACTATAGTGAGTTTTGACCCTAGGCAGAACTCAGCATTTAGTTAAATTTTGAGTTTATACTTTGACTAGTCTCTTTTTTCTGTGTAGTTCCTCTACCAGATATGTCTGTCAGTAAATGTAACCATTTAGGCCATAGTGGAACTCAAGATCCATTGATGCTGGATGTATTTAGGGGTAAAGTTCCTCTATTTTATGAGGAGAGTAGCCAAGAGCATGTGAAGGCTATTAGTCGTGGTAGTGATGCCACTTTGAGAGAACACATTATGGATGCAAAGATCTCTATTCCTAGAGAGGATCAATGCGAAAAGTCAAATTTCCTATTTGGTGTCAATCATGTATTTGCAATGCATAGTCGGTCCTCATTATATGCCATTCTCTATTACTTACAAGAAAGATAGTGTGGTGGTGGGTAATTTGAAGCAGGAGGGAGGCTTCTTCTAATAAGGATGCTATAGTCTCAGTGCTCTCGATCTTCTTCTAGGGTTTATTAAGGAGAATACTCTTCCAAATGAGATTCCAGTGGTCCCTAACATGTTCGACAACTAGTTTGCTAAGATTAATAGGCAATACCTAGAATAGGATGTCAGATCTCTGGGTGGATTAGGGCTACTGAGTCGAAGTAGTGGGCCATGATGGTTGAATTTGCCCTTACTACTTTTGAAGATATATTGATGATACTAGGGCTCTATTCTACTATGTGAGATTCTCCGTTGAGATCTATTCATTAGTATTATAAAGTATTCTTGAGCTGTATAATATTGATACCAACATCTTCTTCACTCTAGCAAGGGAGATAACGATAGCCCTGCATGAACTATGAGAAGTTCCCCAATTCTCGATGGGGCTTTCTGATGGGGGAGTGATCATAAAAAGAATTCTTCCCCACAAATACGGAATCGGGCAGTATTTTATGCTCATGTTTTCGAGACATTCCAGGAGCTAGTTTGCTATTTCCATATCTGCCATCAAATGGTTATGGGTGTGGCCCATGGCTCTCATGTTGCTCGTGATTCTTAGGCTAAATATCTTTTAAAAAATATGAGCAAGAAAGGAAATGTGGAGCCTATCCCATTGAGCTCTGGTCTTGAAGTGGAGACTGAGATTTTTAAGCATGGTCCAATTGTTCACACCACTGACTCAGATGAGTGTGGGTTCAAAGCAGGGGACACGTTTTAGAGTTTCCATCACTAGGAAACTACTTAAGCTTTACTTGCCGGCTTCCTTTCAATCTCATTGAAAGGACATGCTGTGGCATCTTGGCCGAAGGACTATATCTCCCTCAAGGTTCTGTACCCAGCAGTTTTACTTGCACATAGGTACAATTTAGCCCATATCCTAGCCATAATCAGCTGCATTCATCATGGATTGAGAGAGTTGATAGTAGTGTATTTGAACCAGAAGGGTGGTTGTTTGAAGAAAGAGGTGCCCAACCTGTGGAGTTGTCATATACCTATCTAGTGGTATGGTATATAGTCCACTGTTCCTCACTTATGTTGGCCACCACTAGATGTGAGAATGATGTCTTGTTGATGTAGCAATAAGAGAGCTTGAAATGGATAGTTAAGTATGTTATGGGGATTAGTTGAATTGTGCAGAATAAGGAAAAATACTACCTCTAATGCTGCTCCCCTGACATCACTGGGACTAAATTTGATGATGAGTTTGAGGGTAGCCTTGGAGATGAGGGGTTTACTCGTTTAGCCAATGGTTGTTTCAACTGGTTAGTAAATATTAGGCCTGGGCATCTCGTTGCTCGATTAAATGGGATGGAGTGCTACATTGAGCCCTATGTCCCTACTACTTTGCATGACAGTTCAGGTGTGACCAACTCTGTGTTGGTAATTTCAATACCGGGCTATTGTGCTTGAGGAGTCTGGTAGACAGAGCCCACGCTTGGTATCACTTTGCTGCCAAGTGTATTGGTGCAATTTATATTGTTGTACAAAACCCGTGACTATTATATGACTATGGTGTTTTGTAAATGGTATAGTGCGGTGAATGTCACCAGCCCACAGTTCAAGATTAACAAGACTAGATTGAAGTGCATCATTCGAAAATATATAAGAAGCTTCCAAGAAAGGATCCAAAAGTAGAGGACCTAGACTCTGGGGAACAGTGAACGCAAGGATGATGATTATGATTCGGACGTACCCTTCGAGAAGACACCATCGTGTAGGCTTGTTGTCAGCCCACTGTGAAGTGGCAAGAGGAGATACCCATGGGAAGAGACTACGACAGCCTTCGCCACCCCGAAAATAGCCCAAGCACCAAAGCTTGGAATCACTGGGGAAGGAAAACTCTCTTGAGGCCCCAACACATGGACCAGTGGCCGAGTATATGGTCGCTTTAGGTAAATTCCCTTATTTGCCGTCATTTTGTTTTGATGAATAAGCATTCTAATGACGTGTGCTTTTTGTTTGTAGATAA